TCTGGCGCAGCTACGGTTGGCAGGAAGCTCAAGAATGGGCGCTGCAACGTTGGGGTCAAGAGATTCAGATGACTTGCAAGGGACGCACTTGTGTTGACCATGTTTGGCTTTCGCCTGAGGCTTTGGCCCTTTGTCAAGCGGTGGAAGTGCGCTCAGTGTTTGCAGAACACTCTTCGGTGCTTGCATTTTTTGATTTTGCCCAGGCTCCAGCCGCTGTGATGAGGTGGCCTTGTCCATCCCGATTGCCATTGCATTCACTTTCGGCAGCCTGGCCGTCCACCTCACCGGAACCCCTCTCTTCCACCTCGACGAACTCTGATGCTCTGTTTGCTCAGTGGGCCTCTAGTTTTGAGAATAGCTTCAATGGCCATGTCCTGGATCAACCAGCATCGAATTTGGTTCCCCAGCAACGTGGTCGCTTTGGCGCCCAAGCTCCGAGATCTTTTCCAGCCACTTGCATTGCTAGTCGCCCTAGCCGACGTGGGGAGGTTGCTTTGCGCAACAACCGCCTAGGCTCTGTGGTGAGCTTATGGTTCAAGCAGTTGAGACGGCTTCAAAGCTACAAGCAGGCCATTGAAGGTGGTAAGACTACATCTTCTGCGTTGACCTATCGCATTGAATTGTGGTCCTCCATTCTGGCCGCTAAAGGTTTTTCTGGCCCTTTTCGACAATGGTGGAATGAGTTTGGCCGTCATGGTGATCCGGATGCTCCGAGTTTCTTGCCGTCGGGACCTCCTGCACGGGAACTTGCTGGCCTTATTTTTGTGAGCTTTAAGACCTGTTTTGAGGCTTGTGAATCTTGGCATCTTCACCAACGCCTCAAGCTTCTACGTGCCAAGCATGATCGTACTCTCCATGCGTTGTTCGTGGACCTTAAGCCACCGAGTAAGGCTCACCTTGATGTTCTTTGGCAAGAGCAATGCTATTCAGTCATTGGAGCTGACAGTGATTCCCAGCAATTGCACCTCGATCGTCCTCTCGCTTTGGGTGGGTCCTCTACTTGGACTATTGATGATGTTCGGGTTTCTGTACTTTCTGAGGGCAATGATGTCTGCACAGTGGTCCCTTTTCCTGCAGACCCTTGTGAAGTAGTGCTTGTTCAACATCAGACTCTCACCCAGCTTTCGGATTTGCATGAAGAGCTGTGTCACTTTTGGCTGCCCCGTTGGCAACAATTTGAGGACCTTCCATCGGACCGCTGGGACAGGATAATTGGTTTCTTTAGAGCCTATTTGCCTCGACTATCACTACATGTGCCACCTTTGACTTTGTCTACATGGCGCAGTGCCCTTCGCCGCTTCGGTGTTCGCAGTGCTCGGGGAGTGGACGGCTTTTCTCCGGCGGAACTCCTGAAGATGCCTGATAGTTGGACACAACAGCTTTTGGATCTTCTTGGCCGTATCACTCTTGGTGAGCTTGCTTGGCCTGCTGCGATACGTTTTGGTACTGTGTTCTCTCTGGCCAAACGTGCTTCGGCTCATTTGGCAGGTGATTTCCGGCCGGTGGTGATTTTCAGCGTCATCTATCGATGTTGGTCAGGTATTCAGGCTCGGGCTCTGTTACATCAGCTGGAACCGTATGTGAACTCTGAGTCTTTTGGCTTTCTTCCACAGCGGGAGGCTGCACAACACTGGATGGCCTTGCAGGGTCAGATTGAGGTGGCAGTGCTGTTGTCAGAGGACCTGTGTGGTTTCAGCTCGGATCTATCTAAGGCCTTTGAACACATACCCAGGCCTCAGACAATGGCGCTTTCCCGGCATCTTCAGGTCCCAGAGACTGTCCTTCGACCCTGGAGCAGTTTCCTGGACACTTGTGTGCGGGCCTTCGATGTGCGGGGCAGTTTGAGTCCGGCCTTGCCTTCCAAGGTTGGTATGCCCGAGGGCGACGCCTTGAGCGTGTTTGCGATGGTTCAGCTTGATTTCAGCTGGCATGTCTACATGAAGGCGTTTTGTCCGGCAGTTCGCAGTAGTTCCTATGTGGACAATTTGGGAGTGAGAGGCATTTCTCCTTTTGATCTCTTGGAAGCTCTATGTACCACATCCAACTTCTTTGAGCTCTGGAACCTTTCTCTAGACCATTCGAAGACCTACTGTTGGGGTACAACGAAAGCGGTTCGTGCTGGCCTGAGCATTTTTCCTCATGAGTGCAAGGACACGGCGGCGGAACTGGGAGGTTCGATGTCCTACACAGCCAGACACCGGAACAGTCATCAGAGGGAACGTCTTTGTTCACTGGATGAGCGCTGGACACGGCTTCGTTTCTCCCAGGCGACTGTTCAACAGAAGTTGCGGGCTTTGCCCATTTGCTTCTGGTCTAAAGCTCTCCATGGTGCGGCTTCATGTCGGCTTTCGTTGAAGCTGATTCAGGATTTACGTATTGCAGCACTTCGTGCTCTACGGCTGCTGCGTGCTGGTAGTAACTCTGTACTGCAGCTGACTTTGAGTGGGGTGATGACGGCTGATCCTGGGTTCTTTCAGCTGCAGTATACAGTGCACTGTTTCAGGAGGATTTGCTGCAAGATGGCTCAGTTTTTTCATGACTGGAATGTCTTCATGCAATTGTTCTCAGGTGTGCTTCATCAGGGACCCTTTTCCAAGCTTCTTGAAGAGCTCAACAATGTAGGCTGGTCGTTGTCGTTGCCTTGGCTCTGGACTCACGATGATCTCTGCTTTGACTTTTTGCAGATGGATTCGGACACCCTCTCCGAGCTGCTGGAAGAGGCTTGGCTTGGTCATGTGGCACGTCTTGTTCGAGGCCGCAAAACCATGAGTGATTTGAAGGGACTTGATCGGCACCTGCTGTGGAGACATCGTCAACCACTTACGGCCTTGCAATTGGCTCGTTTGGGGGCGCTTCAATCGGGCGCTTTCATGGATAGAAGTCGACAGTCCAAGTTCGACCTTACCAAAAGTGGACGCTGCCCGACTTGCTCGTGCCCGGAGACGCAGGAACATTGGTTGACTTGCCCGGCGCATGAGGCTTCATGGCGCCAGGCGCAACTTTCTTTGCGCGCAGTTGCTACTTGCCAGCTCTCTTTGAAGCTCCACTTGCTGCCTTCCCGTAATCCTCATCTACCTTGGTTGCGATCCCACTTTCATGGTCTTCCTCGGCACTTTGACATGTTGGCGGGTCCTTCCAGTGATGCGGAGCACGTCTTTACTGATGGTTCTTGCTTTCAACATGGGTATGGGGGGGCGCAGGCAGCTTGGGCGGTACTTTCCGCCACTAGTGGACGGCCTTTGGCCCAGGGTCATCTTTCAGGGGTTCGTCAAACCGTTATGAGAGCAGAGATCACTGCTGCTTTATGCGCTTTGACATGGAGTGCTGAACATCAGGTGTTCATTCACCTCTGGATTGACAACCAGGCCGTGGTCACTAATTTGCTGTATTTGATTCAGCATCATCGTGTTTCTTCGCACTGGATTAACCAAGATCTTTGGCGAGAGGTGTTGGAAGCTTTAGAGGCGCAAGTGCGTGAGCCTCGTGCTACCTGGATTCCCTCCCACCTGGACGAGACTTTATGCACTAGTCCGTATGAATCTTGGTTTTGTTTCTGGAATGACCGAGTGGATCGTCTGGCTGTTTCTTGCAATGAGCAGCGCTCGGAGTTCTACTACCAGAAACTGCAAGCCGCAAACCAGTATGCGGAGGACACACTGTGCCAAATGGGGCAGCTGTTTTCTTTCTACTCCCATGTGGCGGAGGAGGCGAAAGATTCGGAAGTGCTCGCGGAGCCACAGACTTCTGAGGATACCCCTGAGATGCATTTTTGTGTAACAGACAAAGAGGCCCTGTCTAGTTTTTTGCCTGGTCAATTTTCTGAGCGGTTGACGGCAATCGGCCACATGTCTGTCCCTAATTTGTTTATTTCTCGTTTGCTTAGTTGGCTCGTTTCTCAAGAAGATGCTGCTGATGGTACTTACGCCTGCAGCTTTTTGGAACTAGTGTTCATGCTGATTAGCAGTGGGGTTGATCTTCCTTTGAAAAACCCGAGTACAGGCTGCTGGGAGCACATGGATTACTTTTCCATGCCAATCAGGCCAACTGTAGACTCCTTGATCAGAATGGTTCGTTTAGCTGTCAAGCTGGGGGCCGATGTGTTTGGATATGGTGAGCTCTTGTTTTTTCATCAGAACAAGGTGGCCTTGGGGATCCATTCCCCTTGCAGTGGCCTCTTTTTGCGGTTGAACAGCTCTTTGGTCAAGGACACGCGATTTTCTGTCCACACGTGGACATCGTCGTGGCCTATCCGCAGGGTCGCTGACCTCGCTAGACCGTTCCCGGTGGCCGCTCACACCGGATGAGTTTCGCAACTGACTGTGACTTGGCCGCCGCTCTGCTTGCGCCGAGCGCGTGCCACCCAATGTTCGAGCTATATAGTATTTTTTGATACTTACACGACACATATGTTGCCGTACACGGCTAGGCTAGTGCTGGCTTCTGGCTCCCGGCTGTGACGCTGATGGGCCGTGATGATCCCAATTTCCATGTTGTACACTCTGTGACCCCTATATTATTCTTGGTGCCAGTGACTGGACCTGCGCTCTGACAGCATCTTTAAGCCTTTAAGCTCAGAAAGCTGAAAACGTTTAAGATTTGTCAATCCTCTCATGTTTGATGGGGGATTTGACGGATTTGATATCAGAGACCGCACGGACTCCTAAAGCGAGGGCACATGCACTATTGATTCAAACAAGCTGATGAATTCCTGAGTTTTGCCAGGTTCAATCACCCGGGCATTTTGAAGGAAAGAATCCAACAATGTGTAGGGCAATGGAGAAAAAGAGAGAAAGAGAGACACAAAGGGCGAAATGGAAAAAGGACCAAATCAAATACATGACAAACTTCTCAATAATGTAAATAATGAATAATAATAATCATGATGTGCCTCAGGTGCACAATCTTGCCAACATGCAATCATAAATGCTTGGTTTGCGAGTTCAGCGGGAAGTTGAAGGATTGGCGTGTTGGCACAAGCGACTCCTTCAATCGCGCGACAGGAAATTCAGCAGATGCACGTACAGCCTCCACTGATGGGCTAGATCCAGGACAGATCCCTGGCGGTGCATCTCACGAAGAGAGAGACCCTCACAATTGGCAAAATATTGTGCATCCATTTGCGTCCAGTTAAGCAAACTTAGGACAGCACTTTCGTCGCAGCTCTTGCCTGTCTTGGGCAGATGTACTTTGTGTCGCCTCATGGCCTGCATACCGCAATGCAACAAGCAGTTTGCGTTGAAGGAGCTTCATGGAACATCAATCCTTTGCAACTCTTTGTTTCTTTTCTTTGCATTTCTATGTCCTGGCAGGCACTATGTCAATGTCTGAGTCGATGACTCTAGTAATCTAGTACCGCCCTGGTGGCAGAAGGCGACCAATGGATCCAGAAGAGGAATGGTTAGCAAGGCATGGCTGACTATGTAAAAGACTTGCTTTAGCTCGCTGCTTGTCACCACAAAAGCGGACTGCAGACAAAGCATGCAGAAAGACATGCACGGCGCTGCTACGTCTATTTTTACTTTTAATCTTCCAAGTTCTGACGTCCTGCGAGTCACCGTGCTACCTGACAAAAAGTGTTTAGGCTGAATCTGAACTCAAGGTTGTGCAGGCTTAGGTCTCCAGCTTTCAAAGCACGGCGAGGGCATTTTGCAATGTTTCCCTTGAATCAACAAGGCAGCTTGCGCATTTTGTGTCTCACCGCTTATATAGATAGAATGTTCAGGCAGATACTTGGAGCTGGCGCGAGCTTTTGCGCAGGCTACCGGGAGCAGAGCAAACGACGCACTTTACTGGACTGAAGATCGAACATATGTCATGTTTAAGAAATTGGCCAGCGCACCAGGGCAGCAGCTAGGCAGTGGGAAACCACTGACACTTCTGTTTCACGCATTCATTGCTCAGTTTCGACAGTGACTGGGGAGAAGCCCAGTTGTGTGGTGGCTTGGAGCAGAAAAGAAAAGATTGAGGCGTTGGTTTGTTGACGCATCACAAGAGGCAGAGGCAGTTAACGAGATATACAACACATTGACATTGGGTGTGAGCAATAATGTGGACGGTGCACATTGTTGGCTTAGAGATGGTTCCTTTGTAGTGCCCAACATGGCCGTGAAGTTGTGGATGGTTGTGGCCCCGATCCAAGATTGACACGAATCACCAGTCAGTCCGACATGGTTTGAAGATGTTTGGGCCTTTGTGATTTGTTTGTTAGTTTCTGTAGCTTTTGTTGCTGTGAATTCTGCACCTATGTTCACCAAGCTGCTGTGGCAATGTTCAAGCTTCTGCACAAAGGTTGGGACAGCGATAGTGGCCCATGCAGGAAGTATGATCACAGTGTGGCACTTTATGACTGAGATGCGGCACCCTTGAAAGCGGACCACAACTCCAGACAATGCAGATTCCCACACAGAGGTTTGACTCAACGACTCTTTAGAATAGTATTCAAGCGAAAAAGCACCAAATTCATTCTTGATTTTTGTGACCTTTGCTTGTTGTTCCACGCCTGGTTTTGGACCCAGGCAGAGAAGCATGCGGCCATGGAAGAGTCGGAAGCCATGCATGAAGACGCAACTGGAGTCACCCTTCAGGCCTTGGCATTTCTGATCAGCAAGACTTGGAGACGAGAGTAAGGCATAAGAATTGGATGCTTTGGGCGTGTTTCTTGTTGCTTTGGTTTCTTTATGTTTCTTTCATTTTGAACGATTTGTTTGTCTACTGGATTCTACTGGCATCATAAGGGGGGCCTTTTTCTTGTGCTACTGCTGCTGTGAGGTTGTTGTAGAAGTCATTTGTGGATCTCTCCTTGCACTATGGGGCGGCATTGGGGATTTCAAGACCAGCACTTAGCAATTGCTCGGACAAATGCAATGTCCTCGTGGTGGGTTGAAGATTGTTTGCTGTCCAAGGCCAATTCGCATGGGCGACTCCAAGAAGCCAAGATGGGAGTTGGGTCCTCAGCAGATTGCAAAATGCCCCATGATCTTCACTTGCAGCGAACATTGGGTGTCAGTCTTTGCTGCGACTGTGAAAAACTATGCCAGGTCTTTGCACGCACGACCCGATTTTCACAGCTATCGGAGCAGAGCAAAGTTCATGAGGAGCGGCTGGGGAACATATTGAGAGTGGGTGGTCTTATTCTGTATCATGTGCAGCCGCTCATGGCGCCTCTTTCGGTCAGAATGAATCTTGCACAAGTGCCAATAGCTAATATTGTGTGATATTGTGTGGAATCTTTTGTGTACATGTTTGTGTGTGTGTTCGTGCGCGTTTGTCAACTAGTGAAGGCTAGCCTGCTGCCCAAGAGCAGCAGCTAACTAACCCTCCTCCCTTGCGCCCTTTTTGATTTCGAATTGATTTTGGTGAAGTGTGAAGGAAGCGCAGGCAGCTGAAGTAGTGGTGAAGCTGTTTTTGCAAATGGCCCAAGTCAGTGAACTGCTGGATGTTGTTAAAAAGGGGAAGGCCATGACTGGTGTGTATATATATATATATACGAGATTGTTTTTGCACACTTAGATCCATGCTCGCAAGAGCTCTATCAGTTTTGAAATTCCGGAAGCTAGTTACTGAATACTTAGCGCTTGACTTGAATCAACGGCATGAAGTGCTGGGTCGGTCAAACAGAAGGTTACAACAAAACGCACTAGCCCAGCCCTTTACGATAAATTAAAATTGGTGCAGGTAGACGTGGCGGCGTCCCACATTGCTTCACCACGAGCTGACAGTGTCTTCGTTGGGCAGTGTCTGTCAGTCGTGCACTGCCCCCCTGCGGAGCTGCACTAATGTGTCTGAGCTCCTTGGAAACAGGAGTTGGGACACACACACACATTGCCGTATTCGGCACGCAGTTGGGAAATTGGCAGGCACTTGACTATATAAAGAAACCTGGTTACAAACCTAAAGAGTCTATAAAAGTCTCTAGAGCGAAGGAAAGCCAAGAAAGAGAAACGAAAGGCAAGGAACGAAAGCGGGGGGGGTCGGGAGTGAGGATCGACTAAAACGAGCCTAAGCAGCAACCTAACAAGCCTGAAGAAAAGACCTAACAAACGAAGGAAGGCAAGGAGAGAAAGGGGGTGCGGGGGTGTGCGTGTGGGGCAGGGGTGGTTGAAAGGCACAAAGCCAGACACCCAAAAAGCCGAAATCGGCGCTCCCTTGACTAAAACTTAACCTGAAACCTAAGAAGCCTCTAGCAACGAAGGAAAGACCTAGAAAGAGAAACAAGGAAGGAGAGAAAGCAAGACCGTGCATGAATTACTCAGTTTGTTTCAAAAATTGGAACGCATGTGATTACACTAGCCGACATGTCATTCTGCAAAGACTACTTAGCTGCATGAAATGTCATTCTGTGGTGGATGCAGTGGGCCCCGCGCATACAGTCTGCGATCTCGAGCAATCAGCTGGTCAGAGGATAATCGAGTGGAAACGCACAGAACAATGAAAAAGCACCCTTGAGGGTCTGTGCTACAAGCGCCCAAAGCTGGGATCACACAAGTCAGTGGGACCGTGTTGCGAAACCCACTTAGATCCATGCTCGCAAAGCCTTTATCAGTTTTGAAATTCCGGAAGCTAGTTACTGAATACTTAGCGCTTGACTTGAATCAACGGCATGAAGTGCTGGGTCGGTCAAACAGAAGGTTACAACAAAACGCACTAGCCCAGCCCTTTACGATAAATTAAAATTGGTGCAGGTAGACGTGGCGGCGTCCCACATTGCTTCACCACGAGCTGACAGTGTCTTCGTTGGGCAGTGTCTGTCAGTCGTGCACTGCCCCCCTGCGGAGCTGCACTAATGTGTCTCAGCTCCTTGGAAACAGGAGTTGGGACACACACACTTAGAATCACTTAGATAAGGTTCAGTCGATATCATACAACCCACGAGGAAAGGAGTGAGGGAACGGAAAGGTGAAAAGTCAGCGCACTTGAAATGTTCAACAGTTTGTTTCTCATTGGCCCTTTACTGAATACTTAGCAGTCTTTAATTACGCGCAATAGTTAGGGAGCGAAACCGCCCGGGTAGAGTAGACTAGAGAAGGGGCAACAGAAGGAAAGGAACCGACGCACAAGTACGCCGACGAACCATTTCCTTCTGTTGCCTTGATTAGCAGCAGGCACGTGGAAATGGCGTCCCATTTACATATCCTCGGATACATCGCCAGCTGCGTTGACCAGGCGACGATGTATTCTGCCTGGTCCCCTGCTTCTAGTGGCCATAACCACAAGCATGCAACGTGCAAACAGTTACTGTAAGGTCTGTAGAATATGGCCAGGTTGTAGAAAGTTGGTGCTTGCAACACATCAAGTTGAAATCTTGCCGGTGTTAATGGGGACTCTGCAGGGAATATGCCGTGGCTGAAGGTGGGGGCAGCCACCGGGTTTAAGTGCAGATGTGACTTTCTGCGCGCAGCATGCACGCACGCCACACTGCTTTCCGCGCGCAGCATGCACGCACGGCCACGCTGCGAGAGCTTTTAGCGGCTTTGCCCCAACCACTTCCAATCACAATTCGTTCAAGCGACACGTTTGCTGCATATCATTCTTCGTCATTCGCCCAAACTTGCGGCTGCTGGCAGCCACTGGCACTCTAGCTGTTTAGTTGTTGCCCAAGTCTTGTCACAGGTCACTGCTGACGAACATCGAGCCCCCGCCAGGCTATTGAAACTTCTCCTTGCTACGTGGGAAGAAAAGGGGGAGCGCTTTCCAAGGGTTACTGAAACTGCATCAGATTTTGAAGAAACACGACTACAAACGATCTACAAGGGCAAGTGTGTCTTGAAACACTTATATACGTGGACTGTAGCCATTTTCAGCTCGTTTGATTGGTTCAAAGTTGTGTGCGATGGGGTGCCTTACAATATGTAGTGTGTTGGTCCCACTGCTGGCCATTGTTGCCCCGATTGCAATGATCCTCGGCATGTCCTTGGCTCTTTATGTCATGTTTTTTGGTGTCCAAGAATGTATGCTCAGATTTGCTCTGAGGAGTGCAGCATTTGATGGCCGATTTTGGGATGTCTTCCCAGCATGGGATGTGAAGGACATGCCCGACCTGTCTGGAAAAGTTGCCATCATCACTGGTCCAACAGCGCCTCGTTTGGAGTAAAGTCTCACAGTCAGACAATGGGCCATTGCAGCCATGCGGCGGCACTTCCATATTCGGACACGTTGTGCAGTATTTTACATTATTTTGCAACGTCCTGGATCCAAAGCCCACGGCCTGCAAAAAAGAGTGTCCCCTCAGCTAGACCAGGCCTTTGCCGCACTGCACCTTTCCAGGTTGGAGGTATTGGCTTCGAGTCCGCTGCTGAAATGGCGAAGAAGGGTGCCCAGGCCATGGAAACGAGATTGTGAGCCAGTTCAAAGGTGAACATTAATTGTGAGCCAGTGGCCAGAACAGTGGTTCGACTTTCACCTAACACATGTTGTCTTTCGCTCTCTTCCGTCCCTTTGTGCTTTCCAATTGACGTTGGAATCATGGCACACCAAGTTCGTAAAAGACAACGATCTTGCAGAAAGGGTCTACGGATGTCTACAGAAACTTGTTTCGGATGTGCCCTTAGAAGTGTGTTCCACAGCTCCCCGGTTTGCACAGGATCACCCACCAAGCAATGAATGTTGAACCCTGACAAGTTTCTGGCAATGCGTGTCCAAGCTGTCAACTTGCAAGCCAGCTGAGTTTGCTCCTCCATTCTCCTTTCCATCGGGCTGGCTACTGTCCCATTCAATGAAGAATTCCGCAGAAAGCCTAAAAGGCATCTCAATTTGTTTCTTAACTATTATATAGTTTGGGATTTGGTCAGGTCGTATGCGCCCTGTTGGGGCAACCGATCCCTTTGTTCAAGCGATAGGTGATTTTGGCGGGACGCAGTGAAGCGAAGGGCAATGAAGCGCTCAAGCTGCTTCTGCAGCGAATTCCACACGCGAAGGCCACTTGGAAGGGCAGAGCACCGTGCCTTTTTTGTTTGCCCTGACATGCCCTGACTAATGTAGTCCCTTGATTTATACACCCCCTCCCCCCCCCTTCAACAACCAAGGCCTCCAAAATAATGTATAAGAAAATTAAGCAATTGATAATTGAATAAGGAATCCTTAGCTGGCTACCTCTGGAGCTACTCTGGCAATATTAAAATAAAAGGAATCAAGAAAACCTAACTTTGAAGACATCTGGAATATTAATTACAATAAATGGGAATGAATCAATGGAAATAGAACTAACTTTTTAACTTTCAATGGACATCTGAACCCAAAGACCTGCAATTTCAATGGTAAGTAAAGCAAATCAAAAGGCAAAGAAAACGGAATAAAGAATTAAAGCCTCAAATCTCTAGACATTATTCTACAGAACGGGTGTCCCTGAGAGTGCGGTTTTCCATTGATTTGCAGATGTTTTTTCTGGAAATTTTGCACCAGATAGAGACAATGATTTGCAGATGTTTTTCTGTAACTTTTGCAACAGATAGAGACATTTCAGATAGGACCAGATGTTTTGAGTATTCAGAAATACCAAAAAATACAATTTTCCAGAGGTTTGGGAATTTGGTGGTTCCAAAAAACCTGGGGTTTCCAAAAAACCAAAAAAATCAGAAAAACAAAAAAACAATATTTCAAAACTCTTTCTGCAGAAGCCCTAAGTGCAAAGACCTCTGGAAAATTGTTTTTTTTTGTTTTTTTTTTGTTTTTTGGAAACCCCAGGTTTTTTGGAACCACCGAATTCCCAAACCTCTGGAAATTTTGCACCAGATAGAGGCATTTCAGATATGACCAGATGCTTTGAGTATTCATAAATACAAAAGACTACAAATTTCCAGAATGAAAACGCAGATGAAGAGATGCAAAATAATTTAGTAATAGGATATTTAAAAAACAAGATTGAAGGACACAAAAAACAGGATAAAGTGGCTGATAGAGAAATAGATGAAGACAACTATATCAATGAACATTGATGTTTGAATCATTTCCATGGCTGTTGTGCCCACTGTGGAATAAAATCTTATATTGAAATGAAGCAAGGCAAATGATCAAAAAACTTCACAGCACAAAGACTAGACAATACACTGTGCCATTCTGTGGATAATTGCACTCCATACTGTAAGTATTGTAATTGTAGTGCTCACTGATTATTTTTGAAAATATGGAAGTAAAGCAACAACTTTAAGAGATGCAAAAACAGATTCTGAAATAAAACTGTTTGATGTTGAATAGTTTTTTAGAAAACATGTTGAGATAAAGAAAAAACACAGAGGTCAGAACAGTTTTGTAGCACCTCATAATAATCATACCTACCAACTTGACATTTTTTTAACCTGATGACATTGAAGCAACACAACAATTTAGAGCGGATTTAGTAATGATAGATGTTCTGAGTAAATATGCTGTGGTAGTGCCAATAAAGAGTAAAACCCCACCTGACATAATTGCTGGAACTATGGAAGGCTTAACCCCACCTGCCATAATTGCTGGAACTATGGAAGGCTTACACAAAATGGGAAAGAAGTGCAAACTTTTGTATACTGACGATGAAAGAGGTATAGCAAGTGCTGATGGTGAAGGCATTGAGGGCAAGAGGACATCCTGTCTTCGCTGAAAGATTTTTAGGATATTTAGGGATAAACCATTCAAAAGAGTTGAAAATGATGAGAAGAAGGGAAAGCAGAATATACAATGGACTGACTACATATTAGAAATAATGCTGACTTATAATAAAGATGTGCATAGTGCAACAGGACTAACACCAAATGAAGCAAGGAAAGAGAAGAATGAGTTTAAAGCAAAATTGAATGTATCAGTGAAAGCAAGTAAAGAAAATATGTATCCAACACTAGAGGTGGGAGACAGGGTAAAAATAATGAGGAAGAAAGCAATTACAGAGAAAGAGAGAACAAGTCATTTTTTACAAGGTGAATATACAGTAGAAAACATTGCAACAAAATTAGGAAAACAATATCAAACATTAGAATGATTTAATCGTCCATTATTAAGGCACAAATTGTTTAAAATATAGTTTATTTAACAAACATACATTTTAAAGGAAATCTATTTAAAGAACTATTATGTTATAACACTACTAAAAATCATAAAACGGCGCACTCTGACAAACACCCGGACTCTTATTCTAGGGCCCCCCCC